ACCCCGCCGTCTGGAATCCATGATGCGGTGCATCGTGTAGACAGGACCACCTCCGATCATCCGAGGAGGAGGAGGACGAGGAGGAGGGGGCAACAGAGGACTGAGGAGAACAGGCTTGAGGCAGGAGACATGAAAGGCGGGATGGACTCTGAGCGTTCTAGGCAATTTGAGTCGAACCACAACAGGATTAATGACCTTCTCCACCACAAACGGACCAATGAACTTCGGTGACAGTTTCCTTGACTCTGTCCGCAGAGGAAGATCCCGTGTAGCCAACCAGACCTTATCTCCGACGGCATAAGCGGGGGCTGGAATACGGCGACGATTAGCCTGGAGCTGATACCGGTCAGAAACTCTAAGGAGGGCCTTTCTGGCCCGATGCCAGGTCCGGTGGCAACGGCGAATGTGGGCTTGGACAGAGGGAACCGAGATATCCTTCTCCTGAGAAGGGAACAAGGGAGGTTGGTAGCCGTAAAGGCACTGGAAGGGAGACATCCCAGTGGCAGATGTAGGGAGAGTATTATGGGCATACTTGACCCATGGCAACTGAGAGACCCAAGAGGTGGGGTTGGAGGAGACAAGGCAGCGAAGCGTGGAATCGATCTTCTGGTTGGCTCTCTCCGCCTGACCATTAGATTGGGGGTGAAATCCAGATGTGAGACTGACTGTAGCTCCAATGGCCAAACAGAATGATTTCCAGACAGCAGAAGTAAACTGAGGACCACGGTCGGAAACTGTCACTGGGCAGCCCGTGGACCCTGAAAACCTCCCTAACAAGGATTTTGGACGTCTCAGAGGCAGAGGGAAGTTTGGAGATGGGCACAAAGTGGGCGAACTTGCTGAATCTGTCCACAATAGTCAGAATGACAGTGTTCCCATCAGAAGAGGGCAACCCAGTGACAAAGTCCAGGGCCAGATGCGACCATGGTCGCCGGGGAACAGGTAGGGGGTGAAGAAGTCCAGAGCTGGGCTGATTGGTACTCTTATTATGCGCACAAACTGGACAGGCAGCAACAAAACTCCGGGTATCTTCTCCCATGGCAGGCCACCAAAATCGTCTGCGTAGTAACGCCATAGTCCGAGCCACGCCAGGGTGACAAGCCATCTTGCTGGCATGGGGCCATTGGAGGACAGCAGAATGGACAGACTCTGGCACAAACAACCGACCGGGTGGACCGTTACCGGGACCGGGCTGCGTCCGAAGGGCCGCCATAACCTCCACCTCAATCTTCCAAGAAACTGCTCCAACGACGAAGTTCTGGGGAAGAATCGTCTCAGTCTTGGCCCCATTCTCCTCCGTCTTGGAGAACATCCGGGACAAGGCGTCCGCCTTGCCGTTCTTAGAACCAGGTCGGAACATCAGGGAAAAATTAAAACGTCCAAAAAACAAAGCCCACCTGGCCTGACGGGAGTTGAGACGTCTAGCCGATTGCACGTAAGCAAGATTCTTGTGGTCAGTCCAGACAATAAACGGTTGCTCCGCCCCCTCCAACCAGTGGCGCCACTCCTCCAAGGCGAATTTAACAGCGAGAAGCTCCCGGTTACCCACATCGTATTTTCTCTCCGCAGGCGAAAGACGACGAGAGTAGAAGGCGCAGGGATGGAGTTTACTGTCAGTGGAGCTTCGCTGGGACAAGATGGCGCCAACCCCCACATCAGACGCGTCCACTTCCACGACAAACTGACGGGAAGTGTCAGGTTGAGAGAGAATAGGGGCGTTGGTGAATCGGCTCTTCAAGTCGAGGAATGCTCGGTCTGCCTCAGGATTCCAACAGAAGGTTCTGGTGCTAGAAGTCAGGGCAGTTAATGGAGCGGCCACACGGCTGTAATCACGGATAAATCTTCGATAGAAATTCACAAACCCCAGAAACCTCTGGAGCTGCAATCTCGTACCGGGCTGGGCCCAATCAAGAACCGCCCTAACCTTCTCTTGGTCCATCTTAATCTCTCCCTTGGAGATGATGTATCCGAGGAAGGATGTAGTGTGGGCGTGAAAATCACACTTCTCTGCCTTCACAAACAGGCGGTTCTCCAATAATCGCTGCAGGACCTGCTTGACATGCTGGATGTGGCTGGAAAGCTCCTTAGAGAAAATGAGAATGTCATCCAGATAAACGAACACAAAAAGACCGATCATATCTCTCAGAACGTCACTCACCATACTCTGGAACACTGCTGGAGTATTGGTCAGTCCAAACGGCATCACTTGATACTCTAAATGTCCCATAGGTGTATTGAACCCAGTCAACCACTCGTCCCCCTCTCTGATCCGGACCAGATGATACGCATTGCGTAAATCAAGCTTAGTGAACACAGTAGCACCCTGTAAGGAGTCGAAAGCAGAGCTAATCAAGGGCAGGGGATACTTGTTCTTGACAGTAATATCATTCAAACCCCGATAATCAATACAAGTTCGAAGAGAGCCATCCTTCTTACTCACGAAAAAGAATCCTGCTCCCAGGGGTGATAACGAGGGACGAATGAGACCAGCAGCTAGAGACTCCTTTATGTAGGTCTCCAAGGCTTCACGTTCAGGTCGAGAGATACTGTATAAACGTCCCTTGGGATAGGCAGCTCCAGGGATCAGATTTATAGCACAGTCATATGGTCGGTGGGGAGGAAGTGAAAGAGCCTTCTGCTCACTGAACACTTCACCCAAATCGTGATATGTTTCAGGAACTAGGGACAAATCTGGGGGGGCAGAATCAATGACCTGACTGGGAACAGAATGGGAACAGGCAGTCTTAAGGCAGTTAGCATGACATTCAATGCTCCAACTAGTTACCTTGCCAGTCACCCAATCGAACGTGGGATTGTGTTCTCTCAGCCAGGGGTATCCAAGAACCAGGGGGGCACAGGGAGATGGCAGAATGAGATAAACTCTGAATGATTACCTGACAGCAGCATCTTAACAGGTTCAGTCCTCCTAGTGATACGTGCCAGAAGACTGCCGTTCAGAGTGGTAGCTTCAATGGCTTCTGGTAATTGCTCCTTGGAAAGCCCCAGCTGTTCCACCAAGTCTGCATCCATCGGCACCTGAATCGATAAAAGCGTTAATCTCCAAAATCTGATTATTGTTCATGAGGGTTGCAGGAAAACGGGGTCTGACAGGGTTATTGAGAGGCTGAAACTGGCTCGCTAAAAGTCCTCCCAAACTTAGCGAGCCGGGCAGTTTAATGGGCGCTGGGGACAAGCGGAGATGTAATGTCCCGGGTTACCACAGTAGAGGCAGCTGTTGGTCTCACATCTACGTTGGCGCTCCTCCTTGGTTAACCCGTGCCGCCCCACTTGCATGGGTTCAGGATCTGGAGGCAGGAACTCTCCTCTAATCTCGTGTGGTGAATAATGACCAGCTCGTTCTGGTCCATTTCCTGACTTGAATGGTAACCGAGTAGATGAGTGATTGGAAGACCCCCATCGCTTCTCCCTCCTTCTCTCTCGGATTCTGTTATCCACCCGAATAGATAACGCTACCAAACTGTCCAGGTTACTAGGCTCAGGATAAGAGATCAGTTCATCCTTGAGTTGCTCCGACAACACCTGATAAAAAGCAGCTTGTAGTGACTCCTCATTCCACCCACTCTCCACAGCCAATGTCCTGAATTCAATAACAAAGTCTGCTACACTGCGAGCTCCTTGGCGAAAAGAGAACAGACGATTAGCTGAGTCCTTACCTCGGACTGGATGGTCAAAAAGCTTCCTCATCTCTGCCGTGAACTCCTGGTATGACGCCATGCAGGTGTCCTGTCGTTCCCATAAGGCTGAAGCCCACTCCAGAGCTCTTCCACGCAGCAGTTCAATTACAAAAGCTATTCTGGCCTTGTCTGTGGCGTAAGAGTTGGGCTGCAGGTCAAAAACGAATCCACACTGCATGAGAAATGAACGGCATCTTCCCAAATCCCCTTCGTACTTCTCTGGTGTCGGAACCTTGGGCTCACGGAAGGAAACAGCTCCAGAAGCGGCAGGCGAGAGGGGTGAAACAAGTGGTGGATTCTCTGCCGGCAAACTGAGCTGAGCCTGGATACTCGTCAGACTGGCAGAAAAGTTCAGAACCGAAAACGCTATCTCCTGTAGCGCCGTGCTGTGTTGTCCCAACATCTTCTCTTGATGGGTAATGGCATGGCGAACGGAGTCCAGGTCCGCTGGGTTCATCCTTGGCCGGATCGTTCTGTCACGATTCTCTAAAGCAGAACCCAGATGCAGACCAGGACAAGGTGAGTTGAATGAAGGTGAGTATTTATTTAAAGACTTAAATGTGGAAGCAGGAGAATCCAGGTGACGGAGCTGGCAGTGGAGGTGAGTTGGTGTGAGTGAATGGGCAGATCCAATGATGTCTCTGAAGCCACAGACGACCAGGAAGCGGTGGAGTGAATGTTCCGGGAGAGTAACTGTAGACAGAGTAAACGAAAGTGAGTTCACAGCAAGCAAAAAGTACAGAACAGTAAAACTAACTCTTAGTAATCTGAGGCTGATACGCAGGCACAACATACTGATGTCAGGTCAGAGCTTAAGAAGTGGAGAGGTGATGATCAGAACCAGGTGTGCAGATAGCTGATGAGATGCAGGTGCGGGTAATGGAGAGATCTCCCGCCTTGCTTCGTCGCCCGGCAACCACACAGGGTGCGTTCAGGAAACTCAGGAAAAAAACTCCAGGACAGAAAACAGGCAACTCCGGCAGAAACCGACTCAGGAAGCGGGATTCATGACAATGGGACCAAATACTAAACTGTTTGACTACTTTCATTATATAAATCTTTAGGGATGTGAATTGTTTTGACCCCTACCTTCATGAGAAAAAAATAATTACTTGTTAAACAAACAAAAAAATCTGAATATTTGTATTAGTCTAATAATATATAATATAATTTCCTTCTTTTTTTTTGCCTACATTATTGCTCATCTTTATCAAGGGTGTCAATAATTTCGGACCCCAGGTATATGTACTACTGAACAGGACAGCAACTCATTGAAATTGTTTTTTTTTTATTTCCTTTATAAAGGGGCAACTAGTAAATGTCCTTCTAGTCCTCTATGCTACAAGAAAACTGAAACAGCTACCACCTATACATGTGAATGGGTGACATCTGAGTCTATGAAGAATGTAACCTATGAGCTTTTTTACAGGTAAGTTAACTAGCTATGCATAGTTGTGGACTTTCCATAGGGTACACAGACAGAGAAGTGTTATTATGACACCAGGAACCCGGCAATATATGAGCAAATTAATAACTCCTAATTAAAGAGCTACCTGTATATACATTGTAACAATTTTATTATAACAAACTAAAAGCAAATATGAGTGTTGTGAAGTATGAGTGTGTGCACATTATATGCATGTCAGTATTTCCGATGTGGATGAGGTGGAGGAGTCAGGCGCAGGACACAGAGGATACGTCCAAAAGACTTTAATAGTCCAAAGAGCAACAAACAAAACATGACCTCGAAAACAGACGGAGGCGAGGCAATTACGCAAACACGCGTAAACAATAATCCCAAACATAGACAGAGTGCAGACACGCAGCTCTGCACGACAGGCAGAAAATAACAACACACAATCAGACTAATGCAAAACACGGAACTTATAAGACAAGTAATCAACACACAAATGGACACAGGTGTAAAAGACAGACAAAAGCAATCACACTACGAAACATAGAGCGGTGGCAGCTAGTACTCCGGGGACGGCGAACGCCGAAGCCTGCCCGAACCAGGAGGAGGAGCAGTCTCGGCAGAATCCGTGACAGTACCCCCCCCTTGACGTGCGGCTCCAGCCGTGCGCCGACCCCGGCCTCGGGGACGGCCAGGAGGACGCGGACCCGGGCGCGTGGGATGCCCACGGTGGAACTCAGTCAGGAGGGATGGATCGAGGATGTCCCTCCTGGGCACCCAGCACCGTTCCTCCGGACCGTACCCCTCCCACTCCACGAGATACTGGAGACCACTCATCCGGCGCCTCGAGTCCAAGATGGTCCGGACCCTGTACGCCGGGGCCCCCTCGATGTCCAAAGGGGGCGGAGGGGTCTCTCCTATCTCATCTTCTTGGAGTGGGCCAGCTACCACCGGCCTGAGACGAGACACATGGAACGAGGGGTTAATATTTTTGTACTCTATAGGCAGTTGTAACCTGTAACACACCTCGTTCAATCTTCTCAGGACTTTGAAGGGCCCCACAAACCGCCGACCCAGCTTCCGGCAGGGCAGGCGGAGGGGCAGGTTTCGAGTCGAGAGCCAGACTCGATCTCCCGGTGCGTACACCGGTCCCTCACTGCGGTGGCGATCGGCGCTCGCCTTTTATTGACGGATGGCACGCTGCAGATGGACATGGGCAGCGTCCCACGTCTCCTCCGAGCGCCGAATCCACTCGTCCACCGCAGGGGCCTCGATCTGGCTCTCGTGCCATGGTGCCAGGACCGGCTGATAACCTAAAACACACTGGAAAGGTGTTAAATTGGTGGAGGAGTGGCGGAGAGAGTTCTGGGCCATCTCTGCCCAGGGGATGAACCTAGACCACTCCTCCGGCCGGTCCCGGCAATAGGACCTCAAAAACCTACCCACATCCTGGTTGACACGTTCCACCTGCCCATTGCTCTCTGGGTGGTACCCCGAGGTAAGGCTTACCGAGACCCCCAATCGTTCCATGAACGCCCCCCAAACTCTGGAGGTGAACTGGGGACCTCGGTCAGACACAATATCCTCGGGGACCCTATAGTGCCGGAACACATGGGTAAATAGGGCCTCAGCGGTTTGTAGGGCAGTAGGGAGACCCGGCATTGGAAGGAGACGACAGGCCTTGGAAAACCGATCCACAACGACCAAAATGGTGGTATTCCCCTGGGAGGGGGGTAGGTCGGTTACAAAATCCACCGATAGGTGGGACCATGGTCGTTGTGGAACGGGCAGGGGATGTAACTTACCCCTGGGCAAATGTCTAGGCGCCTTACACTGGGCACACACCGAGCAGGAGGAGACATAAACCCTCACATCCTTAGCTAACGTTGGCCACCAGTATTTCATGCTAAGACAGTGCACGGTCCGGCCAATACCTGGATGTCCAGAGGAGGGTGATGTATGAGCCCAATAAATAAGAAGATCACGAACCTCGAGCGGAACATACGTCCGCCCCACAGGACACTCGGGGGGGAGTAGGGTCGGTACGCAGTGCCCGCTCGATTTCCGCATCGACCTCCCATACCACCGGAGCCACCAAACAAGACTCCGGCAGTATGGAAGTAGGCTCGTTGGACCTCTCCTCTGTGTCATACCGCCGGGAGAGGGCGTCTGCCTTACCATTCTGGGACCCTGGGATGTATGTGATCTTAAAAACAAACCGGGTTAGGAACATGTTCCACCTAGCCTGACGAGGGTTCAATCTCCTAGCTGCCCGGATGTACTCCAGGTTACGGTGATCAGTCAGAATGAGGAAAGGGTGTTGAGCCCCCTCAAGCCAATGCCTCCACACCTTTAGGGCCTGGACTACGGCTAACAGCTCCCTGTCCCCAACGTCATAGTTGCGCTCCGCCGAGCTGAGCTTCTTGGAGTAGAACGCACAGGGGCGGAGTTTAGGTGGCGTGCCGGACCGTTGTGACAGGACTGCCCCAATACCGGTCTCGGACGCGTCTACCTCTACTTGGAATGGTAAAGAGGGATCCGGATGCGCCAGCACCGGGGCCGAGGTGAACAGGTTCTTCAGCTTGACAAATGCCCTGTCCGCCTCAGCCGACCACTGCAAACGAACCGGACCCCCCTTTAGCAGGGACGTAATGGGAGCTGCAACTTGTCCAAAACCCCGAATAAACCTCCGGTAGTAATTAGCAAAACCCAAGAACTGCTGCACCTCTTTTACAGTGGTTGGAGTTTGCCAATTACGCACGGCCGATACACAGTCTACCTCTATCTCCACACCAGACGCGGACAACCGATAACCCAAAAAGGAGACGGACTCCTGGAAGAACAGGCATTTCTCTGCCTTGACGTACAAGTCATGCTCCAACAGTCTTCTCAACACTCGGCGCACCAGGGCTACATGCTCAGCTCGTGTAGAAGAGTACACTAGGATGTCGTCGATGTACACTACTACACCCTGCCCATGCATGTCCCGGAAAATCTCGTCAACAAAGGATTGGAAGACTGAAGGAGCATTCATTAACCCGTATGGCATGACGAGATACTCGTAATGACCCGAGGTGGTGCTAAATGCTGTTTTCCATTCATCCCCCTCCCTAATGCGCACCAGATTGTACGCGCTCCTGAGATCCAACTTTGTGAAGAACTGCGCTCCGCGTAACGATTCCGTCATAGTCGCAATCAGTGGAAGTGGGTAACTGTCCTTAACTGTGATCTGATTGAGACTACGGTAATCAATACACGGGCGCAATCCCCCGTCCTTCTTCTTCACAAAGAAGAAACTCGAGGAAACCGGGGAAGTGGAGGACCGTATGTATCCCTGTGCCAAGGACTCGAGTATGTAAGTCTCCATAGCCGCTGTCTCCTCTTGAGACAGGGGATACACACGACTCCGTGGAAGAGCCGCTCCTGTTTGGAGATTTATCGCACAGTCCCCCTGTCTATGAGGAGGTAGCCGTGTTGCCCTCGATTTGCTGAACACAAGTGCTAAGTCCTCATACTCAGGGGGAATGCGCAGTGCGGGCACTTGGTTCGGACTCTCTACCGAGGTCGCCCCTATGGAAACACCTAGACATCTCCCTACACACTGGGCAGACCACTCCATAAGAGCCCTCTGTTGCCACGCAATGGTAGGATCATGGGTGCTTAACCAGGGAAGCCCCAACACCACGGGGTACGCAGGAGAGTCAATCAGATAAAACTGAATGATCTCCTCATGACCCCCCCTGCGTCGTCATCGTCAGTGGTGCTGTGACCTCCCTGATCAGGCCCGACCCCAACGGCCGGCTGTCTAAGGCGTGGACAGGAAATGGAGCTTCTACCGGCCGAAGGGGAATTCCTAACCTACAACAAAATGCCCGATCAATAAAGTTCCCAGCTGCGCCTGAATCTACTAGCGCCTTATGCTGAGAATGAGGTGCCACCTGTGGAAATCTCACAGAAATACTCATGTGACCAACAGAAAGCTCTGGGTAAGTGGGGCGCCTACTCACCTGAAATGAGTCCCCAGTGCGTGACCTGTTGTCCCCTCTCCCAGGAGACCCTCCCCAGCACCTGGCCGCGGTGTGTCCTCCACGACCACAGTTGGTGCAGGGTATGGCCCCCCTCGGGTTCTCTCTCCTCCTCTCTCTAGCGCCAGCACCCCCGAGCTCCATGGGAATCGGCTCGGAGGTGCTGGAGGGTGGAATGGACGACCCCCACTCGGGACGTCCGCGGGTAGCCAGCAGGGTGTCTAGACGGATGGAAATGTCCACCAACTGGTCGAACGACAGGTTGGTGTCCCTGCAGGCCAGCTCACGACGAACGTCCTCTCGTAGGCTACACCGGTAGTGGTCGATGAGGGCCCTCTCATTCCACCCCGCATCCGCCGCTAGCGTCCGGAACTCCAGTGCGAACTCCTGTGCGCTCCTCTTCCCCAGTCGGAGGTGGAACAGACGCTCTCCCGCCGCTTTCCCCTCAGGTGGATGATCGAAGACAGCCCTGAAGCGGCGGGAGAACTCCGCGTAGGTGATGGTAGCGGCGTCTATTCCCCTCCATTCGGCGTTGGCCCACTCCAACGCCTTGCCGGATAGACAGGAGATGAGGGCGGAGACGCTCTCGTATCCCGAGGGCGCCGGGTGTATGGTGGCCAGGTAGAGTTCCACCTGCAGGAGGAATCCCTGACACCCGGCTGCAGAACCGTCATATGCCCTCGGGAGCGAGAGCCGAATGCCACTGGGTTCCGGTGCTGAGAGAGGAGGACTGGCCGTTGGTGATGGGATGGTGTAAGAGTGCGTGGGCACCTCTCGAGTCACCAACCGGCGCAGAGTGTTGGACACCTCGTCCATGGCGGCCCCAAGTTGCCGGATCATGGTGTCTTGGTAGCTGATCCGGTCTTCCAGGGATTCGGGTGCCGCCGCTGTTCCTGCTGACTCCATAGATTGGTGTGTTGTTCTGTCAGTAGTTCCGATGTGGATGTGGTGGAGGAGTCAGGCGCAGGACACAGAGGATACGTCCAAAAGACTTTAATAGTCCAAAGAGCAACAAACAAAACACGACCTCGAAAACAGACGGAGGCGAGGCAATTACGCAAACACGCGTAAACAATAATCCCAAACATAGACAGAGTGCAGACACGCAGCTCTGCACGACAGGCAGAAAATAACAACACACAATCAGACTAATGCAAAACACGGAACTTATAAGACAAGTAATCAACACACAAATGGACACAGGTGTAAAAGACAGACAAAAGCAATCACACTACGAAACATAGAGCGGTGGCAGCTAGTACTCCGGGGACGGCGAACGCCGAAGCCTGCCCGAACCAGGAGGAGGAGCAGTCTCGGCAGAATCCGTGACAATGCACTGGCAGACAAAGCAAGACTGAGAGTTTGACAGTATAAAGACAAGGCAATATTATCAACTGTAATAAATCCCCAGTCAATAAAATATTAATCATACAAATATCTGTTCAGTGTGTGAACCAAATGTTGCTGTCATCCTAAATGTTTTCAGGCGCTCCAATTCATCTGAAAATAGAACATCATTGGGCAGAGATAGGAAGAGCTATATCTGCGTGAATGACAATACAGTGATCAACAAAGTGCCCGTGGATATATGGGTGGTCGCTTCTATGGGCAACTGGACATGCCAGTCACTCAGAACCTCTGTTATACTTTCTGAAAGAGGTAAATCATTTTTAAAAACTGTTATTCTGTGTAAAATACAGGCTAAGAATCCACAAAGGACTTGACACAAATGACCATGGTATAATTTTAATCCCAAGATTTATGTTGTAATCTTTGCTCTTGTGTAACATTAACATTGCTTTGCTTTCTCCCTGCAGTTAAGTATGAAGCTCCCCAAAGTATGTCTATGTCAAGATCCTCGAGCAATCTTACCCTCAGCTGGGATAACAAGAAAGGTAATAAAGGTGCTCAGGGCTGTGCCTCAGACCTTTGGGAGGGCAGGTGCTCAACAACATTTTTCCAAGATTCAAGAGTTCATGAGAGATTAGCTCGTTTGTTGTGTTACAAGTAACAAGAGAGAAGTAACACAATTATTTTATTTAAAAAACACAACCAATCTGAAAAAGCAATTTCTCATCTGTGCAGTGCCTGAAGGTGCTGTAATAGAGGTCAGGTTCAGAAGACTAGGGGAAACCTCAGGGACATGGGTGAGACCTCTTATTTTCCTTGCAACAATGTTCCCATTCATTATTTACTCATTTTCTGATTAGATAAGTATTTTTGCCTCAATTAATTTGACCTTGTCTCTGTTGGTCTAGAAGACATTTAAGACAGAAGTCAAACAAGGTGAGCTCCTTTCAGTTTCATTTTTAGATCTTTTGAAAAATAAGCAGCCCTTTCATTGAGAAAGTACAGCCCTTTCTGGCATATCCCACATGCAGTAGAGAGACAACACATTATTGTAATGTTTATTTAGTTATTTTACTGCAGTGTGGGTCTCAATAAAATTCAGTATTTGAAAAGTGCAAAACTATCACTACTAGAGTGAGACTTGCAGTAAACCTGTGTTTGTCTATACAGCCATCGTCACACTGGAGAATCTCCAGAACCAATCTGTGTACCAACTGCAGGTCAGACAAAAGTCCAAGCTGGTCAAACATCCTCTGTGGAGTGACTGGACTCCAATCCTGGACGTTCCCCCTGGTGAGCAATGGATATTTAAATAAGCTGTATGTGCAGCAGCCTACAGTGAAACTCACCAGGGTTGAGGGGAATTCTATTTGAAATCAGTCAATTCTGTTCATATATAGATGATGATTGGAAACAGTGGCAAGTTTTTCAATTCATGAATTTAATTTCAATCTACTGTATTGTCAGAATTTTTAATTGACTCTATGCCCCAAGATGAAGACACATTCCTGGCTTTGCCCTTCTAGAATTGATGAGGGTGTACCATTTCTGGTTGTAACTGTCATTTTGTTGCAGAAATCCAAAATCCCCCAGAGGTTAACTGGACAGTCAAGGATTTTAACAATGGTACTCGACTACTCAAGCTGACTTGGGGTGTAAGTTACAAAATGCTACACATTGAAATTTAAGTAACATTCTAGACTCTGCTGATTACGATTAGGCTCGTAATGTGTTTCAAACAGTTGCATCACTTAAATCTATTTGTGTACCCCCTGTGTCTTCCAGACACCACCCTATCCAGTCTCTATGCAGGTGAATTACAACCTCTCTCTCCATATTTGGCCTTGCCTACTAAAGCGAAAGAACTTCACCAATGTCACTACCACTGAGTTCAGTGTTTATGTGACTTACTCTGCTGTCAGTGGTGATATTGTTGCCTTTAATAAGGTGGGAAAGTCATCCCCTACACATATCCTTGTCCCAGCAAAACATCTTACATTTCCCAGCAAGTGTAAGTATGTGTGTGTGCATGCACGTGTGTGTGTGTGTGTGTGTGTGTGTGTGTGTGTGTGTGTGTGTGTGTGTGTGTGCTTATGCTCTACACCTCTACACAATTATGTTAATTCCTTAAATCAAAATGTTGTTATTTAATTTCCAATTAGCTTGGCCTGATGACAAACTCATCCCATTCAATTATTCGCATGGCTTTGCGAAATCCTGCCTGGAGTGGTACAAGTTAACAGACGGAGAAACACGACCAGAAAAAGTGAATAGATCAAAACTAAATGGAGCCGTGAATGAAAAACTAAAATCTATCAGACTAAGTAAGTAATTTTTTTACAGAATAGGAAATGTCTGTGTTTGTTTTACTGTGCTTTACCAAGTGTGATATACCAAGATATACAGGTGGTATGTCTCTCAAATTAAAGATAATAAACAAGTCTGGTTTTGTTTCAGAGATGGATGACTATGTACGCTACTATTACCTCGTTCACAAACAAACTGATGGAAAGCCACAAACAACAGAGATGTGTCTCATGTATAAAGAGCAGGGTGGTAAGCAAAGCTCAAATAAAATATCTGACTGTCACAGCAATGCTTGATGATGCAGTTCTTCCCTACAAAATAATGCAACAGTATCTAACACAGATGTCTTGTTTTCAGCACCCAGTAAGGCTCCTATTCTTAATGTTAATGTTACAACCAATTCTGCAATGCTGCATTGGAAACCTATTCCTGTGCCAGACCAGCAAGGTTTCCTTACACACTATGAAGTCTGCTACACAAAGAGAAACCAAACAGGTGAGTCCCACATTAAAACTGGTAAAGTCCTCCTCCTAATTAAATGAGTCGATGCTCTGTGGTGAACGTGTAATTTATGTAATTGTGTAATTCATTTATATATATGAATATCACATTTCTGTCTCTTATCAGAGTGTCACAACATCTCAGCATCGAAAACAGAGTACCTTGTTCAAAACCTGACACCTGGGTCCATGTACATCATCCATCTTGCTGGAGCAACAGCTGTCGGCTTAGGACCAAGGACAACTATCCATATCGTGACAAAGCTTCTACCCCAGTCCATTATTGGTAGGAATCAGAAATGTATACATTCTTTTTATGGCACAGACTAGACCAGAGAACCATCAAAAAGGTTAAACTATTTTGAAATGATGTGAGTCCACATGTTATAATTTATTTTATCACTCGTGATTTTCACTTTTCAAATGAGTGATATGAGGATGCTGCCTGCATTATTTTTTCCTATAGCCTCAAGATGCTTATCAAACTCACCAAAATAAAATAAAATAATGATCTTCTTTATCTTTTCCAATAAGGTTGGATCATAGCTGGCATAATTGTTTTAATTGCAATATTAATAACAGTATGCTTGTTTATCATCAAGAGGTGAGCTGAATATATATATATTTTTATAACATCAGATCTTCAGGATTAGCAAGAAAACATAGTCTTTCAGGGATGAATATTTTTCATTTTCTAATAACATCAAAAAGATTTCACACATCATACTAAACAGCATCTATAACTTTGATCTAATTCTAAGACATAAAATAAAGATCTTCCCACCAATACCACATCCTGTGGTCGAAGAATCAGTGAATTATCGAGCGAGGAATCAGGTAAGATCCTTTTTACAATTTACATATTTAGGATTGTGTTCAGACTTTACTGTGCAGAACTCTGTGTTTTCCCTAAATGTCCTGCTTTGTAAGAAGTTAGACATGCACTTTGGTATTTCAAGTCAGAATGCATGCAGCACATGATTGAACTGAAACATAATTGAAAGTAGACATCACATGACATGCTTTGTTCTTTTACACTAAATCACAAATTATAAAGTACCATAGCTATGATTGAGCCCTGTCAGGCTGCCACCATAAAAGGTAGGGTTAGTTATTGCGTCTACAGAGGTGCTCAGGTCTATATGAATGAATACATTGGTGTGAGGAAAGCACCTGCTGAGCAAGCAAAGCACAATCGTGGTGAGAAGAAACTGCCTTTTGCACTCACAGACACCACAAACTTTCCATATATTCAACAAACAATATTGCACCCCAAACTTATTCAAAAGCTGGTTTATAAACTCATGTGAATGAGGTCAACTTTCTTGCATAACGTTTTATAAAACATACAATGCATTCGGAAAGTGTTCAGACCCCTTGATTTTTTCCACATTCTGTTACGTTACAACCTTATTCTAAAATTGATGAAATTGTTTTTTTCCCTTATCAATCTACACACAATACCCCATAATGACAAAGCAAAAACAGGTTTTTAGACATTTATACCAAATTTATTACAAATAAAAAACTGAAATATCACATTTATATAAGTAAAACAGACCATTTACTCAGTACTTTGTTGAAGCACCTTTGGCAGCAATTACAGCCTTGAGTCTTCTTGGGTATGACACTACAAGCTTGGCACACCTGTATTTGAGGAGTTTCTCTCATTCCTCTCTGCAGATCCTCTCAAGCTCTGTCAGGTTGGATGGGGAGCGTTGCTGCACAGCTATTTGCAGGTCTCTCCAGAGATGTTAGATCGGGTTCAAGTCCGGGATCTGGCTGGGCCACTCAAGAACATTCAGAGACTTGTCCCGAACCCACTCCTGCATTGTCTTGGCTGTATGCTTAGGGTCGTTGTCCTGTTGGAAGGTGAACCTTCGCCCCAGTCTGAGGTCCTGAGCGCTCTGGAGAAGATTTTCATCCAGGATCTCTCTGTACTTTGCTCCGTTCATCTTTGCCTCGATCCTGACTAGTCTCCCAGTCCCTGCCACTGAAAAACATCCCCACAGCATGATGCTGCCACCACCATGCTTCACCGTAGGGATGGTGCCAGGTTTCCTCTAGATGTGACGCTTGGCATTCATGCCAAAGAGTTCAATCTTGGTTTCATCAGACCAGAGAATCTTGTTTCTCATGGTCTGAGAGTCTTTAGGTGCGTTTTGGCAAACTCCAAGCGGGCTGTGATGTGCCTTTTACTAAGGAGTGGCTTCCGTCTGGCAACTACCATAAAGGCCTGATTGGTGGAGTGCTGCAGAGATGGTTGTCCTTCTGGAAGGTTCTCCCATCTCCACAGAGGAACTCTAGAGCTCTGTCAGAGTGACCATTGGGTTCTTGGTCAACTCCCTGACCAAGGCCCTTCTCCCCCGATTGCTCAGTTTGTCCGGGCGGCCAGCTCTAGGAAGAGTCTTGGTGGTTCCAAACTTCTTCCATTTAAGAATGATAGAGGCCACTGTGTTCTTGGGGACCTTCAATGCTGCAGACATGTTTTGCTACCCTTCCCCCAGATCTGTGCCTCCACACAATCGTGTCTCGGAGCTCTAAGGACAATTCCTCCGACCTCATGGCTTGGTCTTTGCTCTGACATGCACTGTCAACTGTGGGGCCTTATATAGACAGGTGTTTGCCTTTCCAAATAATGTCCAATCAATTGAATGTACCACAGATGGACTCCAATCAAGTTGTAATTAACATCTCAAGGATGATCCATGGAAACAGGATGCACATGAGCTCAATTTCGAGACTCATAGCAAAGGGTCTGAATACTTATGTTAATAAGGTATTTCTGTTTTTTATTTGTAATACATTTGCTAAATTTTCTAAAAAACTGTTTTCGCTTTGTCATTATGGAGTATTGTGTGTAGATTGCTGAGGAAAAAGTTTTATTTAATATATTTTAGAAAAGTCAAGGGGTCCGAATACTTTGGTGCATTATAGTTGTAAAGCATAAGTATCTGGTGCACGACTTTATGTGTGTGCTTAACTTGAACCTTTGTCCAAGTCATGTATTGATACTGACATCATTGAGACATGGACATCTCAAGTCAGGATTTGATCCTGAATGGTTATCCCTTTGTTTCAACAGGACATGTATGAGATGGAGGAGGTGCATGAGCTGCAGCTACATGACAATTGCAGCCAAGACCCCAACCCTGAGGAAGCAACTGTCCTAGAGGTGTCTGAGACATATGAGTGTGAAGACATGGACGAGAAGTGCCTGGGAGACTCCAGCACCCCAGTCAGTGACCCGCTGAGCCCTGATCACAAGGGCCAGGTGTTACGTCTAGAAACCACTGATCCAAGCCAAGGAGAGATTGACTGTGAGGTCACCATGCTGATGTACAGGAACGGTCTGGTCTTTGATATGAAAGCATACTCCACTGAGGATGTCGGGACGCCACTGTAGACATCACTGCGGTAGTACTTACTTGAAGCCTGTAATTATAATGCATGACCCCCTTATTATGGTGTATTGTCATTTTCTATTGGTCCTGACTAAATAACAGTCATTTTGAGTCAGTTGAGAGAATTGACATATTATAAGCCTTATAATAATAGATTATAAAGGCTCATACATGTTTATAACAAGTTATAAAGCATTATATCTGCAGCCTTTATGTAAAGTGTTAGCAACACTGCCCGAGTCTGGTGACTGTGGCCTGGCTGGGCCATTTAGCACTGTCTGTTCAAATGACCAGGCTAGTTCATTAACAGATAATTATTATATTATTGTGGACGTTAAAATATCTTTAGATACTGTAGATATAAATAGTTTGCGTTGATGTGAATTGATGTCTTTCTTTGTAATATTTTATATATATATATTTTTTACAATAAACAAAAACATACATAGACAAAAACAACAGACAACTTCATTTACATACATTTCCACAACCATTAATGGCATCACACTTGCTTAGACCCACATGTTCCCACCGTATCCACACAAACAAAGAGGTGTAATGGGCTCGCACTCAGAAATATGTTGCATAAAGCTTACTTCATTATTCAATGTTCTTCGTTATTTTCACTGCATCAGGGATAGCGTACACAGACGTTTCAGCTTTACAGCCTTCTTCATTGTGTCCACACCTAATGTTGTTTCTAATGCTCTGCCCCATATGACTTCAAATTGTGTTATGTTGTTTCTGTTTGTAGCCAGATTTTCTTCAATATTTAGATAATAAAGCATTTGATTCTTCCATTCTTTTAAAGTTGGAGTGTCATTTCACTTCCAGTATTTATGTAATAGCTTCTTCCAGGGGCACAACTTTCACTGGGGATGGTGGGGATATGACCCCCCCACATTCTAAAATTGCATTTTTGTCCCCCCCCCACAGTTTTATTATTGCACTGTTTTGGGGCGACCCAGTTGATAGTTGATACAATGTTTCAAGATCATTGCAGACACGCCATGCGTAGCCAATTTGATTGATAGGATATGTATTTTTATCAGGATATTTTCTACCTGCAGGCTGCAATGTTTTTGTGTTGGCTTTATGTAGGTTATTATTATATAGTTGGCAATGGCAATAAAAGTTACTTTTAGATTTGTATAATTTTCATTTAGATTTAGACAAAATGTATTTTAACCACAGACAATGAATTTGAGATACAAAGACTATTATAAATTAAATGAAACTGTTCCATGAAAATGTGCATATGAAAATCATAACTTGCACGCAGATTGGTAGAAATTGTAAGATAAATTGGCACTCCAAATGGAAAAGGTCGCCGACCACTGGTGTAGCCTATAACTGGCAACTTCAGGAGCATAAGGAGGGTCGAGAACAGGTTTTTTTCTTCTGGTTAGGCTATCTTGATCTCTGGCTCCCTCTTGAGTCATTTGTGTGTCTTCATTATTTAATCAAACAGCATGCTTAAAGCGACAGACAAGTTCAGTACATATAGCCTAGTTGATTTTATTAAAACACTTAGGTTATATCTATATAGGCCTATGGAAAAATAGACGTTAAAAAATTTAAGTCAATCGATTGGTCAAAAGAAAAGACTACTCTTGGTGGACTAAGATTTGTTTGTTGTCGGGGGCAGCCCGAGTAGAAATTCAGGCAATTAGCTTTAGATGTCACAAATAATTCTGAGGGAGGACCCCCTACCAGGTTATGTCCCCCCCCACTTTTAAAACCAAAGTTGCTCCCCTGGCTTCTTCAATATATGTGCTGAAAATAATATTGTCCAGCCCATTGGGTATCTCACCGCACCCCTATCTGCCGTGTCTTCAAATATACAGATAGACGGATTAAAAGTAAATTTACATTGTAAAACTTCTGACAGCCAGCTTTCTAACTCTCCCCATAATATTAGGACTTCATAGCACTCCCAGAAAGCATGAAGTATTGTGTCAATGTTAGTCTTATACTTAAGACATGATTTGTGAATCTTGTCTCTTGTATAATAAATGATATACATTAGTTTAAACTGGATTAAGCGTACATTTTCGAAAAACTGTAATTCCGTTCGTTATGTTCCAACACTCCCTCCATCTTGGGCCAATATCAGTTCTTTTTAAGTCTTGGTTCCAACAGTTTATATTTTTTCCCAAGAGATTGTCAGTTGGATAGGCTCTCTGCAAGGTTTTGTATATCTTACCTATCATATGAGTATATTTTTCTAACTCAAATAGGATTCCCTCAACATTGCTCTGATGTCCAAAAGGTTTCAGGTTGAAAGTTTGTGATATAAAACTTTTAAGTTGCAAATATATGAAATGTCTACATTGGTCAGTCAAAAATTGCTTTTTAATTCTGTACTGGAAATAATTGTATTTCCTATTACCACGTCATTTACGGTTTCTATGCCTTTTGTTTTCCATGTGGACCAATTTATCAGTGAATTCTGAAAAGCTATCCAAGGATTGTTCCATAGGGGTGTGTTTTTAGGGAATTATATTGGTTCTTGTAGAATGCGTTTCATTTTCTTCCATGTTGTTATAGTGTTCTTAACTATGAAGTTGCTAGTGTTCTAAGCTCCATCCTTTGAAAACAGACACGTGAAAAGATTTTGGGGATGAGCATGCGCATCTTTAATATGTACCCATTGTTCCTCTTTAGTGCATTTAAATAATAATAAATAATATGCCATTTAGCAGACGCTTTTATCCAAAGCGACTTACAGTCATGCGTGCATACATTTTTGTGTATGGGTGGTCCCGGGGATCGAACCCACTACCTTGGCGTTACAAGCGCCGTGCTCTACCAGCTGAGCTACAGAGGACCACAGGACCACAGGCCTTCCCCAAGCTACAGAGGACCAGAGGACCATTTTAACATACACTGAGTATACCAAACATTAGGAACACCTTCCTAATATTTTTTTGCCTTCAGAACAGCCTCAATTTGATGGTGTTCTTAATGTTTTGTATTATCAGTGTATGTCGCAAGTAAAGGCCTTGGGTGGCAAGTTGTTACAATTCCAAATCTGGAAGGTTAAAACCACCCTCAGATTTAGGGACATGTAAAACGTTCTTATTTATTCTATGAGTTTTATTTGTCAATATGAAGTCTGTTATGGACAAGTATACTTTTTTAAAGAATGTCTTCGGTGGGGTAATTGGTATTATCGAAAACAAAGCTATGCCATTCTAAAGAGGTTTATTCTACCTGTAAGATTTATGGGGCGATTGTTCCATTTAATTAGATCTGCATTCATGTTGTTGAGCAATCTTTACCACTACATGACCAAAAGTATGTAGACACCTGCTCGTCGACATCTCATTCCAAAATCATGGGCATTAAATGGAGTTCTTCCCTTTGCTGCTATAACAGCCTCCACTCTCCTGAGAAGGCTTTCCACTAGATGTTGGAACATTGCTGTGGGGACTTGCTTCCATTCAGCCACAAGAGCATTTCTGAGGTCGGGCACTGATGTTGGCCGATTAGGCCTGGATCACAGTCGGCGTTCCAATTAATCGCAAAGGTGTTCGATGGGGTTGAGGTCAGGGCTCTGTGCAGGTCAGTCAAGTTCTTCCACACCGATCTCGACAAACAATTTCTGTATGGACCTCGCTTTGTGCACGGGGGCATTGTCATGCTGAAACAGGAAATGGCCTTCCCCAAACTGTTGCCACAAAGTTGGAAGCACAGAATCGTCTAGAATGTCATTGTATGCTGTAGCGTTAAGATTTCCCTTCGCTGCAACTAAGGGGCCTAGCCCAAACCATGGAAAACAGCCCCAGACCATTATTCCTCCTCCACCAAACTTTACAGTTGGCACTATGAATTCAGACAGGTAGCGTTCCCCTGGCATCAGCCAAACCCCGATTCGTCCGTCAGACTGCCAGATGCTTCAGCACTCGGCGGTCCCATTCTGTGAGCTTGTGTCGCCTACCACTTCACGGCTCAGCCGTTGTTGCGCTTATGCGTTTCCACTTCACAATAACAACACTTACAGTTGACCAGGGCAGCTCTAGCAGGGCAGACATTTGACGAACTGACTTATTGGAAAGGTGGCATCCTATGATGGTGCCACGTTGAACGTCACTGAGCTCTTCAGTAAGGCCATTCTACTGCCAATGTTTGTCTATGGAGATTGCATTGCTGTGTGCTTGATTTTATCCAGATGTCAGCAACGGATGAGGCTGAAATTGCCGAATCCACTAATTTGAAGGGGTGTCAACGTACTTTTGTATATATAGTGTATGTTTCTACCTGTCTGGTGAGCCTATTAACAGTAGGGGCTGTAACTCTGAGCTAGATGCTGGATGCTGGATGTGACATCCAGTATAGCATCCAGCTCAGAGTTACATCCAGCATCCAGCATCTGTCTCAGAGATATATCCAGCATCCGGCACAGAGTTACATCCAGCATCCGGTCCAGAGTTACATCTAGCATCCGGCACAGAGTTACATTCAGCATCCGGCTCAGAGTTATATCCAGCATCCGGCTCAGAGTTACATCCAGCTTCCGGCTCAGAGTTAAATGTAGCATCCGCCACAGCGTTACATCCAGCATCTGGCTCAGAGTTACATCCAGCATCCGGCACAGAGTTACATTCAGCATCCGGCTCATAGTTACATCCAGCAGTCGGCACAGTTACATCCAGCATCCAGCATCCGGCTTAGAGTTGCATCAAGCTTCCGGCTCAATTACATCCAGCAGGATGTAACTATGAGCTGGATGTAACACACTTCAAAATAAGAGTCACCTGATTTGTCATGCCAAAATAAAAGTTATGTGATTTCCAATTTCAAAATAAGAGTCCCTCGATTTGTCATGCTAAAATAAGCACTGAGGTTTTCAATTTCAAAATAAGAGTACATCAATCAGTCATGTATGTTTTTTATGTATATTTTATTTCATTTCAATAGTAATATAAAAACCCAGCGGAGAACGTCAAAACGTTTATTGCCAAGGCACAGATATAAATTAAACTCAATGTCATGCTGTTAACCCACCCCTTTGTTTGTGTTAGCTCAACTCATGTTGGGTTGAGTTTGACCAGAACAGACGCATCTACAGT